CTGAATAGTTTTGGTTTCAGAAGTGACGCATCTGCCAAATAGTTTTGCTTTCAGAAGTGACAAATCTGGTACCCTCCATTAGCAATCAGCTAACGCTGCTAATCTCCCATCCTGTGCATTTTATCATTAGTGTGGCATGACTTTTTTTAAAAAGAAAATATAAGAAGGATCATTTTGTGTCAGATTGGGAAAAGCAGGGTGAAGGGCCAAATTAAGCCCTTTTGTTAGGTAAAAGGAGCTTCCTCAATCTACAGAGAGGTCCAAGAGGCTGTCATGTGGTGCAGGCTTGATTTGGCAGCACAGCATATACTCCTTCCCTAATAACCTTTGAAGATTTCGTAGAAGGAGCTAAAAGCATGTCTGGCTTGTCTGTCTTATTCTGACCTCTGATGTGATAACCAAGTTCTTCCATTTGTGCTTTGGTTTCAGAAAGAAAGGCTGACTTCCTTGAGAAAAATCAAGAGCACTCCTCAACTACAGCACAGAGTAAGCTGAAAAATATACCTAGTCTTTCCCTGTAGTTAAGTGAAAAGTACAGAATTCTTTTCCTTTCCTCTGCGTATGGTTTATCTTGTGCCCTGGAACACTCTGGGAAGGTGGAAAGGGACCCAGGAGGCAGATCCAAATGGAAGCTGGAGATGGCAGCACATTCCAGAGCCTTTCTATGAGGTTATTTGACTTGCTGACCACAGAAAATGATCCACTTTTTTGTTTGTGTTTTTTGGCTGGGTTAGAAAATGGAGTTGACTTATGGGACAGTCAGTAAGTGCAGAGCACATAGTGTTGTGGGGGTGAGCTGAGGAAGGGAACAAAACCTTCACCTTTTGGTAGCGGTGAAGGTTGGATCAGACTGTACACATCACCTTGCCTCTAGCCTTTCCCTCGATAATGGTGGCCTGCTATGATTGAATCTCGTCTTACACTCCTGGAGAGGAGCAGCATTTTTCTTTGCTAGCAAACTCCAGTCTGGTCATCTAATGACCAATTCCTTGTGTTTCAGATTTTTATCTTTAGTTGTTTTTGTAGATTTGTTGTTTTGTGTTTGTTTTTTTTTTTCATCTTGGAAGTGTACTTGAAGGAAGAGGGGAAAAAAATCTGTTCTGAATTCTTAATAGCCTTGTGTTCTTAAGGTCTTGGCACTCATTTCTGTCTTGCGCAGGTATAGATAAGCAAGTCTTGTAAATCAGAATTCAATCTGGAGAACCTGAGGGGGTTGTTTGGGGTTTTTTTGAAAACCACAGTGCCTTCTGGAAGAGAAGCTCATCTTGTGGTAGCTGCACTTCTGTGAAATGCCTCTGAAAAACGAATCGATGCAGGGAGTTCTCGCTAGTCTGGTATTTTTGTTTTCCTGTGCCAGAGGTAATAGGTGCTGCAGGAGTGACCGGTTGCGTGTTGACTGAAGAACTTTGGAAACTCACTTGAAACTCTGAAAGCTCTAAGGTGTCTGCAGAAGTTACGCCTTTTGACTTAGGCAAGACAAATAATTTGCCTGGCCTTTGTGTAAATTGTGTTGTAAATAAGGCAAGATTCTTAGGTAGGGTAGGATCTGATTTTAGACTGTTAATTAAAATATTTTTTCATTTAGGGTAGGAGTCACAGCTGCCTCCTAAATATGAAACCTCACCTCTGCAAACAGGGCTACATTGTAAAATATTACAGAATTGTGATTTTGATCTGTTAACTACTAAAAGACTTAAATAATCTTAAACCAGTTACAAGCTCCACGACTGTGCCCTGTCAGGGCAGGGGGTTGAAATTACAGAATAGAGTAGCTCATTAAGCCGGTTAAGCTCCGGCTTAAACCAGGGCTGCTTTTAGCACCTTCTGCAATTACATTCATACAGAAACAAGGTTATAAAATTTATTTTAGGGTTCTTGAAATAACTACTGCAGGGCGTGTTTGTTCAGTTTATTCTCAATAGTGCTATTGACACTCTCCTGATTTGACTACGTATTATTAAAGAGCCTTCAGCTTTGAAGCAGTTGCTGTAGTTCACGAGGAGCCAGAAATTCTTGTGTCTTTTTAATTAACTGACTAAATGCAGAAAACATGCTGGCCAATAATTGCACTGTACATATTCATACTGGTCTCCTGGGAAAATTGTTCATAACACTCTTTTATGGATAATGTCTCTTGCGCTTTGCTGTCTGAACCCGATTTAAATAAATAGACCAAAAGTATATTTTGAAGTTGAAAGCTTGCATTTTGCTTTAAAAGCACAGTTCATCCCAAGAAACTGACTGCTGCCGAAGCAGGCCTCCGACCCGGGCTAAATGGAGAGAGGATAGGAGACTCTTCCTTTAACATACCGCTTTGCTTTAGCTACTTCTGTCTCACATGATGTTTTTTTTCCAATGTGGGTGTTAATTCAGCTTCCATTTTTCTGTCCCTTGAATTCTTGAGCAAAATCAGGTAACTTAATTGAGACGTGGGGTCCTTGTGCAGAGAATAACAGGTTGTTAAATCTCTGCCATTTTGTCATCTTATACTTGAAATGTCTCCATTTTTTTGGGGGGGAGGATATGATTTGTGATGGGCTGAGGACTTGTGCTTTTTATGCCAGACTCTCACCATGGCTTAAGAACTGACTTTTGGCAAAAAGTGTAGATGGAGAGTTGGTCTGTCCGTTGAATGGGACTTCTCAGGCTAGTAAGAGCAGTGAACGTGTAGTTTTCCTTGTTCAGGACTATCCTTGCCTGAGCTCAGGAAGGCGAATGAGGCAGGAAAGAACAGAAAGCCCCAAATTTGATACAGCCCTACGTGGGACGAGGTCACAGCCTCACCTTTGCTGCTCCACTCCTTAGCAGGACTGCGTTCACTTCAGCCAGGTGTTACGCAAGGGTCTTTGTTAACCTTCCCGTAGGCTTCAGAGGGTTTTGTGTGTAAAGGCATAACTAACAGCAGTTTTTCCATGAGAATAACGTGGTTTGGTGATTTCGACTCCCTGCTGAATTCCCCACTGGAAGATTGGTTGTGATTGTTGCCTTGGTATTTTCTTCATGTTCCTTTCTTACTCTTTTAACAGGCAGAAGTAAGTTTCGAGGTCAGCCCAGTATAGGGAAGCAGTCACAGCCTTTGGCCAAAGGTAAGACTTCTGCTTTCACTTCTATTTCACGCGTGTGTTACATTTAACCATTTTCATGCCTGTCCAAGTATTAGATTTCCTGGTGGATGATGTTAAACTGAGGGTCTGTGCCAGAACAGATGCCTTGCTTGCTAAGGTGCATGTTCTCAGCACGAAGGAAGGAAGGGTGTCATATAATAGGTAGCATTTCCACATGAGTTTAAGGTCTTCCATCTGTAGTGTTTACAAGATTTACTGCAAGATTAAATCTGAGGCAGGCCTGGGGGTGTTCTTTTTTAACAGCTGTTGTGTTGCTGTCCTGGTAAAAGTTAGGACATAAAAAAGTAGCATAAGGTATACAGTTCTTCCCTGTTTCCAGGGAGGCTGGTATATTTTTGTCACTAAATTTACTGGGAACAGAATCAAACCTTATGCTTGTGGTAGGTCAAACAAGTATTAATTTAACTGTTGAAATGTAAAACTAAACCAAAATATCTGATATTCTGTATGTTTCCTGTGCACCGATTGCTGTGTATACACTTTGTGAAGCTGACTGATCCAAAGATCACAAATGTTTTCTGATAGTGTTGATCACCAGTGTCTGAGATGCAAATACTGCTGCAGAAACTATTTTTATCCTTACAGGGATAGGGAGGAGAAATAACAACACAGAAACCATTCTGGTGATGCCAGGTTTTGTTTGTATAGGCTTTTTCTGCAGAGCTTAAATGTAGGAAAAAGCTTGACCTTTTTCAGAACCATTTTAAGCTTTTAGTTTGATTAAATAGAGTGGAGTATTGATAAGTATTCAGAAGAACGTCCAATTTCTCAGTCAATCTGGAAATGTGTAAAAACATCCTTTTTTTAATGCTGTCACTTCAGTGAGTTGCTAAAGAAGTTCAAAGTTGTGGGTTTTTTTATAACTAGAATATCTCCTTTGTGCTCTTCAACTACGTACCAGTAGCTTGAGAGTGGGATGAGTTCATTGAATTCTGTTTCCTCTTATTTTCCCCTCACTGGTTGACTTCTGAATCCTTTTAAAACATTTTCTTCTTGTTTGCTCCTCCTTTCTACAGATGATGGTGAATCGCAGAGTGGATTTCACAAGAGCTGGGCTTTGTTACTGCTTCTGTTAATTAGCATCCCATTGCTTTATGTCCTGTGGAGTGGAATACCAAGTCTTCTGAATGCAACTTTGTCAAGTAGAGACACTCAAATTCTGCAAGCGTTTCGGGCCCGGATGAAGAAACTAAAAAATACTTACCAAAGTCAGGACCCCAATCTGTGGAAAAGAACCCACGTGTTCCTTGAAAAACACCTTAATGCTTCCCATCTGCATTTGGAGCCGGCCATCTTACTGTTCACAGCTGGCCAAGAAGCTGAGAAAGCACTGCGGTGCCTAAGTAACGAGATTGCCGACGCTGTCGCCTTCTCCCAGAATGCTACTACGATCCAAATTAATGGGGCAGACAAAGCCATATTGGATAGTGACATTGTCAAGCTGGAGGTAGATAATGAGCTCAGCTCTGGGTTCAGAGAAGGCAAGAAGGTGGCAGTGGTGCATCGATTTGAGTTACTGCCTGCAGGCTCCACCTTAATCTTTTACAAGTACTGCGACCATGAAAATGCAGCATTTAAGGATGTGGCTCTTCTGCTGACAGTTCTCCTGGATGAGCAGTCGCTGAGAAGGAGCATCAGCTTCCAAGAAGTTGAGGAGAAAGTCCGGGATTTCCTCTGGACGAAGTTTACCAGTTCAGATGTTCCTAGTTCTTACAATAGCATGGACACAGATAAGCTGAGTGGACTGTGGAGCCGTATATCCCATCTTGTGTTGCCTGTTTGGCCTGAAAAGGGCCTCCCTGTGGAGGGATGCACATAAAAGTTATCGGAGAGGACTCAGGAAAGGAGGAAGACAGAAAAATATATGTTGCAGTGGCTGAACAGGGAAGAACTTACTGCAGCTGCTGAGCTTGGGCAGCCTACAGTCTTTTCTGTGCAAAGAAATTTGACCAACTGGCAAGGTTGTTCCTGCTAAAGTAACTAGGACTTCTCTAGATCAACTGCAGAACGTAAGCAAGGAACTTGCTGGTTGTTGGTAAGTTGTGTTCAGTGACTTAGGCTGGGTGTCCTGGCGCTGGAAGTAAGTGTCTGCTAGTGCAGAACCACTCATCTGCTTCTGAAGCTATTGGCTTTGCTATAAGGATCCTTTTCTGGAGGTGCATAAAGCTGGGATCGCGTTTGACAAGGTAATAGGATGCAAAAACATCACCTTCATCTGCCAGAATTGCTTACTTTTCTTTTAATGTAAGAAAAAACAAACTGAAAATGATGATAAAGTGATGTAAGTCTAAGCACAAGCTTTTTCTTGATCCATCTGATCACAACATAGATGCTAGCTGCCTCTGAATTCTAGAAATGGCAAAACTGCTTGAAAAATTTGTGACTTGTAGAGAACCTTTCAGCAATCATTTCTTCCTTCAATGAGCCTGCCCCAAACAGTTCTGCAGAGTGAGAAAAGCTGAGGTACGAAGGATTGTTTGACGTTAGTAGTACTGACGTCAGCTAAATAACCCCTCGGCACCTCTTTGCCTCGATGCTTCCAGGAATTCTCTGTTCTTTGTCAAAGTTCTGCAAGTCTTAAAATCTGGGGGAGGATGATAAAATGTCAGCCGTGTGTGTGTACTAAAGACCTGTTGCATCTCCTTTCCAAACAAAAGTTGAGAAAGACATAGGTTATTTCTCATTTTAATAAGATAATTATTTTTGCATCAAGAGAATTTATTTATTTGTGGTACTTGGTATCCTAGAAAAATAACCTTTCTTCATGTGTCAGTGTATAACCTGCTGCTTGCTGTATAAGCTTCTAGTGAAGATCAGATTAGCAATGCATGTTTTTAAAATGCTTTATTTTTTTTAGAGTGCCTCATGCCGAGATTCCCTCACACCTCACTAAAGACATGTACTTGTTTCTATGATAAGTATTTGGTGTAAATCAAAAAAGAAGAAAATCAAAATAAGAGAATGGCAGCACTTCCATGTCATTGCTGTTAAGTGTATGCTCTTCACGTGTTGGTCCGTGGGCATCTGGTTTTATCGAGTATGAAGGAACGTGTGAAGGCTCCTCTCAAATTAATAGGACATTTTCTTTTAACAGATGAGAGATTAGTGGCTCTCAGACCCATCCTTTATTCACAAGCCCCTTGAGGTGTCCTGTTGCAAAAAGTCCTTCTTAACCAGGAAAACCTCTTGAGGTGCTAAAGCTTCTGGCTCCTTTCTGCAAGCCAAGGTTTGGGGTGTTACGTGGAACAGACCAAAATGACGTTAAGCATATGAAAGAACACAGTTTGAGAGACACAGAACTGTGCTGACTTGAACCAGAGGTGGATTTGTTGTAACCACTGAGCCAGGAATGGATAGTGCTTTTTATTTTAATGGGAGGAAATACAAACAGTAAAAAGACATGGAAGTGCTGCTGTTCTCGATGTTTAAGAGTAGCTCAGGAAGGAAAAGATGGCATTTACGTTTTGGACATTTCACTGGACGAATGTTTTTTAAAAACCAACTGTGACTTATTTCTGAGTGTGTCCTGATAGCATATCTGTTTGTATATTATGTAAACTATTTTAGTAATCCTTAAAAATAAATTTACTTGTTTGTTTTATAAACTGTTTTAAGATTTGCCCATTGAATTTTAAGCAGTCAGACTTTTTTCAAATGTTTTAAGATTGTTCCTTTTACCTTTGACCAAATACAGATGCCTAAAGTACAGCCTTTTGCAAAGTTTAGAACTTTTAAGAGAGTGGGATGGTAGGTACTGGGACGCAGATGCATATACTAATATCAGGGCTTTTCTCTAATGGGGCACAATTCAGGAAATTGTAATAGTTCTGAGCTGTCTTTTACTTGGTGTTCTTGTACTATTCTGCAGTTCTGATTTCAGCTGGAACTAATGATTAAGATATGGTTCACTTGTTTCATTAGTCTGATATAAGAGTCAGCAGCTGACAAAAGGGATGACTTCATTCTTGTTCCACTCCCAACTGTGTCTTCCTGTACCTCTGCTGCTGCGAACCAGTGCACTGTGAACTGACTGGAGGCACAGGGGTTTTTTTCCTACTTTTTTTAGGAAAAAAAGTATATACTTGGCAGAATTGGCAACCACAAAAAAGACTTAAGTTATGATGCGAAAGCAGGAGATTCTGTGCTCTTACACTAATAAACCGTGTGTAATCCAGGTTATTTTCTGTTTCTAAAACTGCCTCCCTAAGACTATGGCATATTAAAAAGCTCTGCTCCCCTGTTTCAAGACAAAATAGGAAGGTGCCTGGAAACTAAAGACTTAATGTTCAACTTCAGGTAGTGCCAGATAAAGGAGAGTCACTTTTTTTTTTATTATTAGGGAAAGTGAGGTATATTTCCAAATCTATGGTTTACTGCTTAGGAACAAAAGCAAGATGCTATACACAGTAGCCCCTGCCGGAGGAGGGGGAGGGCTTGGGATTAGAAGACTGTTCCTGCTGTTGAAGTAGGTCCTTTTCGTAGCTGTTTGTGGCTTTGTCCTTAAAGGGCGCTCATTAAATATCCACAGGTACTTAATGCAGATCTCATGCAGAACTCCTCCTCAGCCAGAGGTGAAGAGTAATGTCTGTCTGTGTCGCTTACAGGCAGCTGATTACTATCCTCCTTGGGTAATTACTTCATTGCCTGCAGCAAACAAAGCCATTTGATTTTTTCCAAACTGTAAAATACTTTGGCCTCTTCTAGAGCAATCTCACTTCTGAAGTTGAACTGTCCCTCAGCAGCTCAGCCAATTAAATAGTCTGTGACAGCAGAAATGTGCTTATATAGAGCAAAGACACCAGGTCTGCCTTGGGACTGAGAAGGTGAATGTTGTGGGCTCACAACACACAAACTTTGGGCAGAACGCAATCTTTGGGGAGCAGAACCAGCTACGCACCGATTTGCAGACAAAATTCCCAGCACTCTGACTGCATTTTCCAGTCCAGTTTTCAAACTCCTTGGGTTGTGATCAGGCAGACACCCACAGCTGGCGAGAGCCCCCTTGAAGGTAGCCAGCCCACGCAGAAGGTGGAGCATGGCCCCTCTGTGCTACTCCTGCTGTCGCCTTTGAGCATGGCGAGGATGGCAATGCCCAAGTTGCCTTCAGCAGTGGGTGTTGTAAAAGGGACCTAGAACAATGCGCAGCCCCGTCTGTTATTACCTTGTCTCTCACACCCTTCTCTGAGTCACTTTGCGCTGAGCCGTGGAGTTCTGAGCGTGCTAAGCAGGTTTGCTAAAAGGACTAATTTTTTCCCACCAACAAAAGCATTTGCTTGTTTTGCACAAATTAAAAAAAGAAAAAAGTCATGGTTGTAATTTCTTTTTTTGAAAAATGTTTTGAACTAATACTAGTCCAGCTCAAACTGAGTGCAAAAGGCAAGGTGAGCTCCATTAAGGTAGGCATAAAAGTATTTCCTGTACAAAATGCAGCTGTATGGACCATCTGCAGTGCAATCACTGGCGTGCTGTATTTAGGAAAAAAAATCTGGTTTTGGAGGAGTGCAATGATATATGAACAACTTGCCAGATTCTGTGCCATGACCCTGAAGCACAGCTGGAAAATTTTAAGTCTGAAGTGATCCCTTCTATTTTATAAGTCCAAATCATGCAGAGAACAATTTTTCATGCATTGTTTCTGCTGTAAGACAAACTGCAAAATTGTAGGAGTATGGAGGTGGTGGTGTTCTTGCAGTCCTCACAGCTGTCCTGTGTCCTGTTTTATTGTCAGCTCCTGACAGTTGGATTTATAATTGAATGCCTGGACAACCTCATTCCATGTCCAACAGGTGGAAGCACCCTTCCCCAAATTCCTCCATGGCTCTCGGGAGCCATGTCAGTCAAGGAAAAGGGGGAGGGAGACTGGGGGGCTCCAGCTGATCTTTCGGCTGCAATAGCCAGCTGCCCCTTTCTAATTTTAGAAGGGGTGTGCAAGAGTAGTATGGAGTGGAAAACTTTCCAAACGTCTCTCTTAAAGCTGCAAAAACCAAGTTAGTGTAAGACGAGATTGTGGCTCTTTACGCTTAACTTACAATCTGTCTCCATCCACCACTTCCAGTACTTGAGCAGTGTTTGCTGTGGTTTATCTTTAGTGAGCAGTTCATCAAACTGGAGCGTGTTCAAGTCTTCCTTTTCTCTCAGCTGTGGCTGTTTTCAGGTAAACGGCTTCTTTATTTCTAATCTTAGAGAATTTCACAAGATGATTGCATTTTCCATAAGAATTGTCTTTCTCTTCTCTTTTTATGTGATGTTTGCCTGTCAGAGTTTTATGGCCATTGGTAGGGAATCTTTGAAAAAGTAATCTAAAGTTTTACAATTAAGTTCTACTGACAGATACAGAGAATAAATAGAAGCTATAAAGAAGGAAAAACAGTAGACAAACACCGCCTTTTAATTTTATTTGACTGACTGAAAACAAATTATTTTCATGTTTGAGAAAATCCTGATGTGTAGCCTTGTTTGCCTGAATATGAAAAGGAGGAGCATGAAAACTAGATTAACTGCTTCTAAGCAGAAAAGAGAAACTATGTTTAAAAGCATAATTAAATAGGTAGTGCATTACAAAAGTGCTGAATAATTTAAACCGGCTGCCAATCCAGCAATATTAAGCAGTAAATTTAAGCAAACACTAGGTGATGACGGGGAATGTAATAATGTAATTTGCCCTAGTCTGCAATCAGGGCTCCCATACACTGTGGTAACATTGTTTTCATTGACTGAAATTGTCATTATTATTAATATTACTACTTAGTGCCTTCTCCTGCAGTTGGGAGGAGCAGGTTTGCTCTCTGAGGACTCGGGAGGGAATTAAGCACTACTTAC